GGCAGACATAAAACTGATGACTATGGTTCTTCTCTGTAGGTTGCTACGTCCCAGCTGGTGACATGTTGCTGCAGAATGGACAAAGTTAAACCTCTGAAACTGGCACTCTGCAGTTTATTTGGCTTTCGGCAACAGCCTAACAGGGAGTATGTTATATATTGAAACTAGAAAGCCCATAAGCATTGAGCTTGCTCAACAAAGAAAGAGACCCACAGAGGTCAGACACTGCTATGGTTTATGTTTGTCTGGATCTGATCATGTAGGGTGCTGTTTCCCAGAGATATGTTAACCTTGTAAGATCAAGCTCCTTCTCAGCAGCTTCTGGGAAGAAAATATCCTGTGCTGTCTCCTCTCAACAAATGACCCCTTACTGAAAAACAATGAAATTACACAAATGATTTATAAACTGCCAAGGTGTTCGCAATTGATTTGGGGATTAAGATTAGTAACCAGCATGTTTAGTTATGGTCTCATTTAAAGCTCACTAAAAAGTAAATAAAGACACACCAGGCCTTAACCAGCACAGTGCTTTGGTCTATGCTTAATTATAAGCACATGAATAGCCCTGTCACCATTCAGAGTCATACTCTAGCATGGAAACATCCTTCACATGTAAATTACCTCCCAGACTTATTACATTCTGAAACAAAACAAACCTTTCTGGCTTATAGATAACAGTAACACTTCTAGAGTTATCACTACTTATACACTTATCATCAGAAAATCACTTTGAGTAATTTTGTGTGGACCTTAAAAATTTGTGCTTTATGTGAGTGCTGAAGCAGAGGTAACTTGGGGAGTCGCAGCGCTGTAGTCAAGGAGACTTGCATACCGAAAGTCACAGTTCTGCTGCTGGAGCTCTGCTGCACTTTGCTCACATGGTTTGGCCCTGGGGTAAGGAATAACTGCTGTCATGCAGGTTTTTTGGGGTTTTTGTTTGTTTTTTTTTTTTGGACAACAGTGAGAACGGAGGTGAAATAAATACTGTGCTTGAAGAATTATCTCTAGTAAGCAAAGCACTGTCCACATAAGTTGCAGGCTCAAATACCTGTCTAAGTCTTGTATCTCATATTCAAAGAGCTCCCACTGAAGCTAACAAAACTTGCCACCATGGACAGAGATAGAATGAGTCCCATTACTGGGCATGCTGGCAGAGTCAGCAATCCAGTGTAAAAGGAAGACAAACGATACTTGCAATAGGACTAGCTGACATACTCCCTTCAGTGAACTGGGTTTTTTTCCTTCTCAGAAAGAAAAAAAGGCAACAGAAGGATAACAAAGAAGTGTTGACTTGATCCTCAAAGTCAACACCACCTATATTCAGACACAATCCATTTCACAGCACAGCAGAGATAGCACTGTAATACTCCATGGTTTGTCTCCTGGACTAAATCACAAGGATCCAACCTAAAATAGGGACAGTTCACCTTCACAGTATTCAGTCTGTAAAAGATAAATCCATCACTTAAGACTGATTTTGCAATTTCAACAGGAATTGAAACTATGTATCTGCTGCACAACAAACACAAATGAATTTCACCCCCAGAGACCCATTCTGAATTGCCTCCACCACTACCTGCAGATGATTAAATTTCTCTTTTTCAGTTCTACACCAGAAATGATCTGGTTGGCCACAATCTGAAGTGGGGCAAATCCAGTTGCAGACTTCACACTGGACTGCACCTAAACTCTGGATCTTGCCACTGCCCTGGTAGTGGAACACCTTCACATTACTGTGACAGACTCCTTATTTCTCACCACTTTCCCTCTCTCTTAGGGCTGGTCTGCACTTGCCATGGAGGCAGTGAGCATCACTGAGAAAGCTGGAGTCCAGTGCATGGTATGGCTTTTGGATGACAGACCCTCAATAAAATTACCTATGGCTCTCAGTAAAAAATGAACCAAGAAATGCTAATCTAATGATTCCATTCAAAAAAAAAAAAAAAGCTGAATAGGCTTTTAAATGCATTCTAAACCAGTATTTTATAAGATGAATCAATATATTTCTCTAGGCTGGAAACAAATGAGCTCTCAAAGAAAGTTAAATTTAGAGGAGAAAATGTTTGGTTTTCTTACTACTGAAAACAGCGATGACAACTCCTTCAAGGGTGTTTTATACGAACAACAATGCAAAGCTCGGGCTTCATCATGCACTCCCTAAAATCAGTGGAGTAAGAAAAGGTTACTGTTGTCAGCCTACTTATTGTGAACAAAAGTAGCTTTGCGATCATTGTCCTTAACTGACAGCATTGTACTTCCAAGCTTTCACTGATCAAACCGCATATGGAAGTGATGCAACCACAAAGTAAAACAGTGACAGCTTTAATCTTGCATCTTTAACGCAGTCAGTTAACCTCCCTGATGTCTTTAAAAGAATTACCTGAATAAGGGCTACTGGATAACACCCTAAACTCACAGATCCCAGTAAATACAGCACACATAAGAACTCCGATGCACAGTGGATTGCTTTGTGGTATTGTTTGATACTGCCCCCTTTTGCCAAACAGCAAGTTAACAGCCTAGATTTCACCCCAAAACTTTGCATGTCATGTATTTTTTTTCAGGAAAACATATTCATGCAGATAGTCTTATTTAACCCTAGCATAACTGCTTACACAGTTATTAATCCTAACTAAAATAGAAATCCACTGTTCAAGCCATGTTTAATATCACAGAGTGACACTGCTCTCCAGGAACATTTCCTCTAACAAGGACCCATCAAGTCTCAGCCCAAGCCCTGCAGGACTATTGCAACTGACTACAAAGTAAGAAGCAAAAACTGTAAGGTGCAGATGTATGCTCCCCCAAGTCAGCTGTCTGCCTGGGCAATCAGACTGGACAACCAAAGCCATCTTATTTGGGCTCATTTCATCTTACTGCAAAGCAACTAAAATCCTACAGCACCACTTGTACTGAGTTTCTATTAGGCTACACATATCCCTGCTGAACCCATCCCCAAGCCATCTTTTCAAGTCTATATGAATTGACCAGGTCCACCCTGTTAAAAGTCATTCCCCACACAGGCTCTCATCCCCTACATCTCTCAGTTCAAGCCTTTTGTCTTCCTTGGTTGTGCTTTTTCACTTTCTGGAGTTTGAACATTTTCTCCTCCCCAGTTGCCCCAGCTCTTTGCAGGAAGGGAGGGAGGTCACGGAGGGCAGCCACTGCCAATTCTATCAGCCTAATGGGCTGAGGGGCAGGAACAAAGCAAATACCTATATTTTGAGTGGCAGGATCTCTCTCCCCACCATGATTTCAGGATTAACGTGTCCCTGACAGAGGAGGACAAAAACCTAACCTCTCTGAGGAAAGCAAGCAAGAAAGAGAGGAAAAAAGGAGAAAGTGCCTCCACTTCACTGAAAATCCAAGAGGTGTAACATAAAATGCAAAGATCCCCTACTGTAGCCTGCCTAGCGCAAAGTCTATTTGTCATCCAATCCAAACTGAATAAAAAAGTTTAGTCCAAAAGGGATAAAAAAATTAAAAATATATTAATGATTCAAGTGGTTGTATAAAAATGAAATCTCTGTTAAAAAAAATAATTTGTTAAGTATCACCAGGATTTTTCTTTTTCCCACTGCTTTCTTCTCTGCAGTTTATGACCAGTTTTCTCCCTTGGGTGCTTACAAATCACACATATAACCAAGAGAGCACTTTTCTGTATGAGTAGCTTGTTCCAACTATTCTCACTCCTCCTCCTTGACTTCACTCACCCAGGATCTCACTGATCTCAAACAGCAGTCAGAATCAAAGCCCATTATAACTTTTAGCTCAGCTGGTTTCTATTTTGTTTGCAGTGCAGCCGGCTTGGGGTCTCAGCCTACCACTGAACCCATCCACAGGCAAAGAGAGTAAACCTCTTGCTGCTCAGGCTATAATTTAGGAAAAGAAGTATTTTCTGTAATGAGAGGGAACACTTGCATAACAAAAAAAAATTAAACTTAACTATGATCCCAAACCGATATATCCATACATAAAAGGGGGGGGGGGGGGGGGGGGGAAGAGGAGAGGGGATCAAAACCTAACTCAAAATAAATACAAAACAAGAAAACTAGGACTTGGCATCTACCATGCTTGGAGACCTTTTTTAAGGGCAGGAAATTATCTAAGAGTCTAAACTGAACCAACAGAGGACAGTGAACCCTTAAGACACAGATACCTCTCTATACCTGCTCTATACATGGGCTCCACCTAAAAGCCCATGAACAGACAGGTTCAGTACCGACTTGGCATGCACACCTTTTGTTTGTTTCCTCTGAGGCGTAACAGTAAGCGTGCTCCCAAGCAGCACCGGGGAGCAGATGGTAGTGTTGGAAAATACGGATCTCTAACTTTTGGTGCTGGTGTTAGAACTGGATAGAGAAAGGTTGTTTCTGGCATCCCCCCTCACCCCCAAGTTTCTAACAATACACACAGCTAAGGAGCTGCACAAGGCTCTCTACTTCCCTCTCCCCTTTGCTTTTGATCTCCATCAGGACGTGAGCTGAAATTTAATGGGCCACCCCTACCACAAAGACAAATTACCATCTGAAAAAAAAAACCAAATCATTAATATCCCTCTGTCTAGGCTATCCGGCTCTCCACCGCTGCACCCTCTTCCCTCTCGCCACAGCCCCTCTCGGCTGATTAGGAAGAGCTGGGAAGGTAGCAGGAGAGAAAGAGGGTAGAAACCACCTCCGCTGCCACCTCCAAGCTAACGTCCTCTCTAGCGCTGCCGAACTGCAAAACCAGCGACCAAAAAATCCCCTTTCGCCCTACAGCCCGAGGGGAAAGGAGGACGGGGGGCACCGAACGCTGTACCCAAACACATCCCCAAGCTCTGCAGGGCGCCAGACCCCTCCATCACCTCACGGCAGCCCAAGACTCTCCACCACCCCGGGATCCCATCCCAGGGCCACCCGCTCGCCCCGGCCCCCCGCCAAGTTGGGAAGTTTGCGCGCCCCTCGCCCCGGGGCTGGGCCCACCGTCCGCCCCCCGGCCCGCTGCCTCGCCTCTCTTACGGGGTGGACGCCGGGCTCTCGGTGCGGAGTTCACCGGCGCATCGCGCTCCGGCGGCCGCAGGAGCGGGGATAGCCTCGGCGCGAGTCCGCTCGGCTCGGCTCGGCTCAGCTCGGCTCGGCTCGGTGGGGCGAGTGAGGGTGCGGAGCAGCAGCTCTGCCCAGCCCGGCGCTTAGGGAGCGCCGCCCCGGGCCATGCGAGCGGCTGCGGGCAGCATCCCCGCGGCGCGGCCGGAGTTGGGACCCAAGTCCTGCCCTGCGCTCCGCTGTCTCTTCCAGGCGGCTCCTATCAGCACGGCTTCAACTCTTTCCATCGGAGACCGGGGGGTGGAGGAGGAGGCGGAGAAGGAGGAGGTAGGGAAGGAGGAGGGAGCTAGGGGCTGGCAGCCCCAACTCGCACTGATGTCAACTAATATATTCAAAGTTCAACAGGGCATTTCTTTGCAGGCGAATCGCTCTAGACGCCCTCCCTGCTGCTCGCAGCCTGCCGCCCCGGTCCGGCAGGGGGTTCCGCGGAGCCCCTGCAGAGGGGCAGGCAGGGCTGGCCCGGGCGGGAAGTGGGGGGGGGGGGGGGTTCGGGGATAGGGGGCTGGCACACTTTTCGGGGGGCAGGTTCAAGAGCCGCCAGAGTGGGGAGGGTGGAAGAGAGGCACCGGCCCAGAGTGAGGATGAAAAGCCAGCGGCGGAGCAATGCTTGCATTTAAATCCATCCCCTTCCGTGCCTCCTGGAAGGGGAAGGGCCGGCTACGTTGCTGTGTCTGGAATGGGAGCGGAGCGTAGAGAGAAGAGGGGCCGGGCTCCGGGCCGACATGCAGACCCCACTGCAGTGGACCCTGGAGAGGCCCCCTGGAGGGCCTGCAGCCCGCAGAGAGTGGAGCGCTGCTCCCGTCTCCCGGGGCCCGCGGCTACGGCTACGTCTCCTTGTCGCGATGTCTCCCTGCTCGCCGGGGGCGAACTGGTTCGAAGTGAACCAGGGCAGTGAAGCGGCAAAGTTTTCTCATGCCGAAGCGGAGACGGCGGCGGAAAATCCGCGGCGAGTCGGGTACGCGACGCTGAGCGCAAGGGAGAGGCAGCGCCGCTGTGCGCTGCCCGGCGGCACCGCCGCGCTTCCCACCTCCGCTCCGAGCCTGGGGCCGCCCGCGGGGAACCGTTGGGGATGTTGGGGAGGCTGCATCCAACGTGGTTTTGCAAGTGGCCGATGTGCCGAGATGTCCCCGAGGTGCTGCGCACCGTTACCGGCAACCTCCCGAAGCTGAGGGATGGGCTCTGCTGATGGACAAGCAGCCGGGCTGTGAGAGGATGAAACACGTCTGGGCTGGTTACGGACATTTACAGACCGCAAGATAAGAGCCCCACTTATTTATCAGCTGAATCCCCAGATAGAATGGCCTGCACTGATGCCACTGCATATATGTATGTACGTATATAATGATACTGGGATTTTTTCCATCTGTTAACTGATCCAGTTGTTCCTGTTGACAGTACGTGATGGCCATAGAAAAAAAGTGTAGTTGTATGATGGCTCATCAATGTTATGACAGCCAATTGTAGTGGCAGTGGGTGTTCTTCCAATTCTCATCTTGGAGCAGTAGCAGCACAGATCCACTAAGATGATCATTATAAAATAAATAATTATTCATAATTTCTCATTTTTTTCTTAATCAAGTAATGATATCACTACATCTGTTCATGCAGTAACGCTCTTTTGGATACCGCTTGTACAAAACAGTCAATACATTATTTATATGTATAGTGTTTTCAATCTGCTTTCCACTTTAAAAATTGCCCTGGAAAGTGTAGGACAGGCAATAAGTACAAAATAATTGCAATGTGGCTATGTGTTCCGCTCAAAACTCAAAACTCTTGGCTAAGCCTTAAGTCAGGCATAGTCTGGAAAGTACTAAGAAAACTGCCCCATGCACACAGTGTCATCATATCTGTCCTTCTTTTTCCACCCTCATCATCCCAACAACAAACTGAAAAAAACTCCAGCTGATTTTTTGGTAATAGCATCTTCTTAGAGTACTGTCTTAATTTACATGTGAATAGTAAATACCTTTCAGAGTCCTCCATTTCCCTAGTATGTGGGATATCTTTCAGTTTAGTAAATTCAATCTTAAATAACAATGTACAGCAGCCTGAGTGATTGGAGCAGAACACAGCGTAGGGCTGTGCTCAGCTGGGACAGTGTTGACCTGCTTTTTCAGTTTTACTGTGGAGGGAGTGGTTTGGTTATCTAGCCTCAGGGATAAAGCACCTCACCAAATGCCACAACTGCACATGTAATTTCCAGAAGACTCAGCTCAACCTTTCTGTCTCCTAAGACTCGATGAGGCACTGAGCATTTAACAGTGGTAGCATGAGACCACAGAAACTTAGCTTATGTTTGTCATCATTTAAAGATCTGATGGATAGTACTTTCTATTAAAGAAAATATTGTTTGCCCTAAAATCTTATATTAGCATTTTCCCGCTACTACTTTGCTCTCCCCCCCCCCCAAGCTGGCAGTACTTCTGCTGGTCATGGGCATACATGCATTGCTTGGAGACCCACAAATAAAAGTGTGTATAAATTAAAAACCTGTAATCTTTCCTTGTAGACTCAGGTCCTGGCACCTTAATGCCATTACACAGCACGATGTCTGCAAAATCACTGTCTGGACAGGGACACTACTCAAATCTTTTCAGTAAAGGGCTTATGATGCAAAGCAGTACAGTTCAAATTCTTTAAAAAAGAGAGGAATGCCGTAGGAAAAGTCAGCGTATTGCATGTGAAGTGATCTATATAAAACAATTTGTTTTCAATTTCCAAATCCTAAACCTCGCCAGGGAGGGGATGGACCGGGTTCCTGTCTCCTCCCCGCGGAGCCCGTCCTGCCGCTGGGGCCGACTTTTACCACTAGGTGCTGCTAGTGCTTCCCGGTGCGCCGGAACGGCAGGACCGAGCGGCGACCAGGCGCACGGCGGTGAGGAGCTGCCCTGCCTGCGGGTTTACCCGTCTTGGGAAGAAGGAGGCACCCCCTTAGCTGGGTTCCCGCACACTATGTGGGTCTGTGTAGCACACAGGGTGGGCGGGCTGCGAGACCAGCGGCGGCTAGAGCAGGCGGAGGTCTGGCTGGCACCGGGGGCTGGCTGGAGGAGTGAAGGCTGGAGTGAGTAGGTATAAACCCCACCCCTCCCTATACGAGTGGGAATGCAGCTGTCTGTAGAGAAAGAGACCACCTTTGCTGCCTTCAAACACAGCGGTGCAGAGCAGTGAGAGAAACAGGAGAGTAAAACAGGAGACACAAGCTGCAGGGAAGAGGAGTAAAACTTAGGGGTGGAAGGACTTTGGGGTGTAGGCATAGGGCAGCACGGTAATAGGTACTGTTGAGAACAAGAACCTGCAAGTATAGAGCAGAGCTTTGTGGGGTAAGAAGAGATCTAACCCAAGCTTTCTGTGAGTCAGGTCATCTGAAGACAGCACCCGAACTACAGCTAGCATTGCATTTTGCAGCGTAACTCGAGCAGGCAGTGTTAGCCTGCATTTGCACACAGCAAACCGATGTGGTGATGGTTGAGCTGGCCATGCAGGCCTTCTCGAACTTCAGCTGCTATGGGCATTTAGGTAAGCTTTACTGGTAGATGCTTTAGGAGAAGATCTGGAGGAAAACCTTGACTGGCCTCATCATCTGGAGACCAGGTGACAAGGTGGACCCCCATGTGATCTCTGGAGCATGATTCCACAGTAGTAGCAGTCTCATTCAGAAAAGTAATTTTGCAGTAGATGTCCAGACCATTTCACATAGACTGAGGGAAGGGAAAAGTGCACGTGGCAGTGGCAAAGATTTTAAATTATGCCTAAATTTAGAGCTGAGCACATAGGTTCAGCCAGTCACTACACTAGCCTACCACAAGTTATTTCTCTGTAGCACTGCAAGGGGAGAAGAAGTGTTGCCATGAGGAAAACAGCCAAAATATAAGCAGCAGAACATTTTCCTCTGATGTAAGTGATGACCCAAGTGGAGCCCAAACTGTCCTTCTACAACGTTTTCTCAAAAGGGGAAAAAATGCATTTCTAAATATGATGTCAGCAAATACTCAAAAGCAATGGCATCCAGCAATAATGATAGTAAGCATTATCCTGAATACCAAAATCTAGATCTGAAACCAAGTGGCAATTAGCCATGAAATATTTAGGTACATGGCATTTCACTTGAATTTAAAATAGGTTGCTAAATAGTCACAGTTGTGGTTTCTGGGCTCAGTCTGGTGGCAACAGTAATGTTTTAATTGATACTGAAGAGAAGGCAAAGTTAAATCCGTGACATGAACTAAAAGTCAAATTACCTGAAAGCAAGAGAATACAAATGAGCTCCCTGGAGAGAAGAGGCTGCAATGAAACAAATAGGATAATACAGAGGGATGACTTGACACCACTGGAGTGACTGTATTTCACTTCTTTTGAGGGAAATGAAACTAGCTTAAACTGGGACAACTGCTTTATTTTCAGAGAATTACATCTGAAACCTCTGCTGCCTACAGACAAGTGATACACAGTTGTTCCCCCCCCCGAAGCCAGATACTATTAATTGCCAATTTTCATATGTCACTCGACATGACGGAATCAGCAAATGTCACCATGCTGAATAGAGGCAGGCCTGAGTATTCCCACCAAGTCTTATATAAGTAGAAAGTTCCCTGTTTGCAGACAAAGACTTATGAAGCATAAAAGTTGTATTAACTGTATGATATACCAGGAGGGAGGGAATGTTGAGACACTTGTCATTGTTAGCCAGTAAGCATCTACACTGAAGTCATACAGCACCTAGCAGTCGCCTGTTTGTTGGCAAATAAAAGGAGCAGTGAAAAAAACAGTTTTTAACAACACCATTAGGAAGTTTGATACTAAATCAGAAACTGCTTTCCCCTCTCCTCTAACTCAAGCTCTGAGCCTAAAGGCTGTGTTTATTGGAAATTGCTTCTGTCTTGAGACAGGAAGTATAAAACCTAGTGCTGAACACCTTTATGGTCCTCCTAGACACATGTTACACAAGGGACTGAAAACTTGTTTGGTAAATACAAGTGGTATTCTTTTTCCTGGGTAGTACCTCTTACCTGTAGGTACCTCTACAATTAGACTTAAGCTTTAATTTAGAGACATGCTGTTTGGCACATCAGGCGTCTCACTGAAGGCTCTGTGCAAGAACCAGATTTGAATGGAAGTGACTTCAGTACTGGGTACAGCTTTTCTACTGAATTTATACACAACCGTAGGCAATTCAGCTGAAAGATGAGCTCAGTTCTGAAAGTTCTCATTACAAGCTTTGGAGTACCCTGCCCTGTTATAATTTTCCTTTAAACAGCTACATTAAAAGCATTATAGGTATCCAATTATACAACAAACTGTTATGTTCAGTGAGCTGTCCTCTACTGAAAAGTCTGGGTCTAAATGTGAGCAGGTTTTGAACGTGTTATCATTCCTTCCTCCACTGCTTAGGTGATGACTAGTGTCTTGATAAAGCAACTTGCTT